CTTCAGAGCAGCCGGGCAAACATTTTAGACCGAGCTGTGGTTTGATTAAAAATGGGGTTCAATGTGGACTTGGGGCAAAGCCCTGCTAGTCATGCTGAGCACCTTGATTTGGGATTGTTGACACAAATCCCCTCAGCCCCGTCACAACACACAAGCCTACCCTGACAAACACATGGTGCTGGGGCCGATGTCTCACGTGGGTCTCCTGCATGGACGGCAGAGTTCTACCACTGGCCCATCAGAGCACCCACCACCCACAGCCAGCACCCCAAAGCAAAACAAGCTCACTGCCATCGAGTCTGTGCCAACCGGCAGTGACCCTGTGGACGAGGAGCACTGCCCGTGCGTTTCAGAGACGGTCGCTCTTGACTGGAGTGGCATGACTCAACTTCCTCCTGAGGAGCAGCTGGTGGTGCCCCACTTCTGCCCAGGAGGCTGGCTGCCCAGGGCAGAGCCCGCTCTGCCACCAGGCATGTACATCTCCTAGTTCTCTGCCACCAGGCGTACGTTTCCACCGTGCCCTGCCCTGCCCTGCGCGCGCGCTCACACACACGAGTTCCTTCTCCAGGGGCCTTCAGGCCTCCTCTGGCTGCGCCCAGCACACACTGAGCACCCCAGCACCCCCACTACAGGATAACTCCTTCCGGGCAGGGTCGAAGCCTTTTTGTTCTGGGGACTGGGGTGCTAGAGATAGGGAGTCCAGCAGTGAGAGGCGCTGCCGGGACAGAGCCCTTCCACACCTCTGACCGGGCGAAAGAAGGGCAGAGGAGGCGTCTGCAAGAAGCTTCTAGAGCAGCGGTTCTCAATCTGTGGGTCTCGACCCCTCTGGGGGTCGACGACCCTTTCACAGGGGTCCCGTGATTCATAACAGCAGCAACATGACAGGGATGAAGTAGCAATGAAAAGCATTTTATGGTTGTGGGTCACCACCACATAAGGAACTGCATGAAAGGGTTGCGGCATGAGGAAGGTTGAGAACCACTGCTCTAAAGATTCTAAAAAGTCCTGGGGGCTTATTTGAGGAAGGGGCCTCATGGTAGGGAGAAGAGAGAAAAACAGCAGGATGGCCCTCCCTTTAATAGATTGATAATTAACACAGGGAACACAGAGTAGCTCAGCGCACCTGTGAAGAACAACGTATAAATATGACTGGTCAGAGCAAATCTGCGCAGAAGGACTTGCTTTGCTGTGCGACACTGCCGAGTCGGCCCGACTCAGAAGGACAGACCGCTGTCTGTCCTGCAACGCCCTCACAACTGTTGCCACATGTGGACCACGGAGGCACCCCCTGGGCCAAGCCTTCTCACGAAGGTCTTCCTCTTTTGGCTGACCTGCACTGCCACGCCTGGGGACCTTCTCCAGGGACTAGTTCCTGCTGATGAGATGTCCAAGGAGATGAAGTCTTGTCCTTCTTTCGCCCAAAGCACGTACTGGCTATACTTCTTCCAAGACAGACTTGTGTCTTTGTTTTTGTTTTTTAGCCGTTCTATTGGCACATAATTTACATATTACATACTTTAACATATGAAGGAGAATTGTACAATCATCACCATGGCAACATTAACGCATTCCCCCCCCCCCCCCAACATGGTTTAAACACCCTGTTCATGAGTTGTGCAATCACATTCAATGGTTCAATCTTCCGACAGTCTATGGCATATTTGGTATTCTCTTTGGCTATACCGTACTTCATTTTTGGTGCCAATTCCTCTTCATCCTTCCTTATGTCCTGTCCGGCCTCCCCAGCATAGGAGGGCATTGATAGTCCCACAGTCTGGCAGGGGCATCTCCGTCCTCAAAGCAACATCTCTGCTTCTTTACACAGAAATTAACCAACAAGGGCCCCCTGCACTCTCATACTGCCCTCAGCATTGTCGTCGAGCTATATAAGACACCAGAAGTCATCTCTGCTTCCTGTCCTTGTCTTCAGTTGTTGACATGCCGGGCCACATGCATGAAGACATCGAGGAGGAAATCAACCACTCATGACGGTTGCTGGGACCTGGAGTCGGGCTTTCTGCACCGCAGGGTGCGTGGGGATTTCTCTGAGGGTTCTCATTCAGCAACTCGGGAGCAGGGTTCAACATTCCGCATCTCTCACTGCTCCCAGATGGATGGTGGCTGCGTCGTGGGACGCGGGTTTAAGCAGCAGGGACCATAGAGGATGACGGGAGCAGCACAGGCTATTGCACTCAGAAGGCGAAACCAATGCTGCGGCTGTCCATTTGATCGCACCTGTCAGAGTGCCAGTTCTCAGTGGCTGGGGATTTGGAGGTAGATGAGCAGGTCTTTTGAGGTGCACTGAACGGCCCTAGAATGACCAACAGCTTCCGTTTGCATCCCACAGGATCTCTGGGGCATTTAGAAAAGGCTCCCCAAACACCATGGACCATGTTGGGATGGACAGAGGCCAGAGGGGGTGGTCAGGGCCATGGACTGAAGCCACGAAGGCCTGCTTAAGCTCACAGGTGGAGAGGACCATGGGGAAGGGTCATAGACATGCTGGAGCAGAGAATCCCCAGAGCCAAGGGCCAGGAATGGAAAGAGAAGACACTGTAGGAAGCCTTAGATGTCAAGCCTCAGCTTGCAATTTCTCTCAGGCTTGTAACTTAATTCTAAAGGAAGAGTGAGCTGGGCTTAGTTCTTGGGTCAGGTTTCACTGACGCGCCCAGTAAAAGAAGGAGAGTAAGAGTAGCCCTCCACAGAGAGCGGGGAGCAGTGTGTCGTTTCTCTACCGTCTTCCTTTAAGAGATGCGGTCAGGTCTTCCGTGCTGTATCCTCCCACCCCTCCTCTCCCCATCAGCCCTTTCCCAAGCCCCAGCCCCTCTCTGAGACCTGCTCCCCACCCTTGGAAGAGGAAGGCGAAGTCTCCAATGACCCAGCCATCCAGGGACGGTTCTAGAGAGCTTTTCTTCCAGCCCGGGCCATGTCAGCAATTGCGCAGCACAGGGTAACATGGGGGAGGGGTGCCCACATTAATTTCCTCTAGGCAAATGATAAGCTGGCAGGTTTGGCTCCGGGGAAGGACATAAAAGCCCATACACGGCCAAATGGGTCTTGGGACCGGAGCCTGGTACGAATGCAAATTAAAATAAAAACTATATCAACAGCAGCACAATGGCACCATTCACACCCCTTCGTTAGCAGCGGCTCTCTGGGGCCAATGCCCTGCAAAGACAGCTTCCCCTTCTGTCCCCTTCTAACGACAGTCCAAATCGCTCAACAAAGAGACGTGAAGGGCAAAAGCCATTTTAATGGATGTGGCTCCGGGGAGGCGGTGGTTGGGAAGTTTCATTTTGTGTGTGCAAATAAAAAAATAAACGGGATATGCCAGACCAGCTACAGGCCCTCCCTCCAGCTAAGGGGGTGGGGGGTGGGAAGGACCTGGCGATTCCAGAGACACCAAATTCCTCTTCTCAGAACTTGTCACATCTGCAATAGTGGCCCCAGGGCACCTGCCCCTCCCAGGTCTCCTGAGCCAGACCCAGGCTTGACTAGGCCGACAGAACGGCCTGCTCAAAGGCAGAGTCAATTCTGACTCAGAGACCACGCAGGAAAGAGTAGAATGTCCCATCAGGTTTCCAAGGCTGCCATAGTGACGGAGGCAGCTGCTGGGGGGTGGTCCTCCGCCCTCAGAGTGGTTCCTGGGTCCACACTGCCCGTCATCCTCTGGGTGAGCAGCAGGCCATGAATGACTGCCAGCCCTTAACCAGAGCTCATTCTGCCGGGTGTGAGAGGCACGGCCACCTGGGGACCTATGATTCTCTGCATCAAGAACAGAGCCCATTCATTCTATTTTCATGAACTTTGAACTTTGACCATCCATGCTGGGTGGTCACCAGGGTGAGGAGCCAAGGGTTTACCACAATGCACGAGCTATGGAATGTTCCAGGTGCCACTGGATCGACATGCCTTAGATACCTGTCTCTCCAAGTGACAGAGCGGCCCACCCACACCTCTCCCACATCACCCTGCTCTCAAGCTGCCCGACCTCTGCAGTGGTGTAGCCTCACTCAGGCTCACCCTCGCGCTCCCATTCTCTTCCGGCCCGCATCGCCTAGCTACACGAGCTTCCTCCCTCTAATATGAGGTAATAATTAATATGAGGTTGCATTTAATATGAGGTGCGGTAGTTACATCGTCTGTTGTCAACTTGAGACTTAAGAGTGAAGGGGTGGAGTTTAGCCTGACAATCAGGTCACAGCTTAATGACCTTATGTGAAGGCCCTAAGGAGATAAATAGCTTGCCGGAGATGGAACACGGGCTCACTCCCTGGGAGACGTTCCTGTTGAGAAGACACATGGAGCTACACTAGAGCCCTGGAGCTGGAGGAGCCACGTGGAGACCCACGCCAGCACAGAGATGCTTCCACTGTCACTGGATCCACAAGACTTTCCACCCACTGACCTGTGATCTTCCTGCATTCAGCATCATTGCATGTGTTGTGTGAGTCTGAAGAGGACTTTATAGATTGGTACCGGGCATATGGGCTAATATTGGACTTAAGGATTTGATTTGGACTAGGCTGGAATGTTTTTTCAATATTCAATTACTCTTGCATAGAAAGCTCTTTCTTACACACATATGAGCCTCCCTGGATTGTTTCTCTAGTCAACCCGCACTAACACGTGAGGCCGTATTTAATAGGAGGCAACAATCCCTGCTCTGCTCATTACACAGGCTGTGTGGACGCTCAAGAGAAACGGGACCCTGAGAAAGCCGCCAGCTTGGCTTACGGGCCTTGGTGGAACCACCTACACGGAGGCAACAGCACTGAGCCATCTGTGATGGCCAAACAGTCCTGCTTGTTGGGAAGTGCGACACTCTCTTCCTCTCCACCAGTCCTTCCACAGGGCACATTGAGGTTTTCATACACCGACCCGAAATGAACCCCCAGCACGTTAAAATGGTGGAAGCCAAAACAATCAAAGGAGTCACCCCAACTCGGTCCTCTTGGGACTGCCTCAGAGGGCTTCATCTGCAGGGGCCTGAGACTCACCCTGGGTTCCCCCAGACATCAGGCGGAAGGGTCCGGAGATGATGGGTCGCCTTGTCCTCATCTTGCAGTGGCTTTCTCTTGATCCACCAGGTAGACCGTGAACTGCTTGCAGTTTAACAGCGACCACAGTCAACTGGAACACTTCTCTTCTCGTCCATCTGTGCAAAAGGGTGGAAGAGGGGATTCTATGAGAGCCCCATGACCAGACTGCCTTTCCTCCCGACCCCAACCCCCAGTGGGGCAGTCACCAGGCTGTGTGGCTATCTCCCTTCTTCTGGACTGAGAATGATGAACGTGGTGTTATCAGCCATGGAGAGGCGAATATGCATTTATTGTGTATGTGTGTATGGGGTGTCGTAAGAGCACCCCACCCAGCTCTGTTTGCCCAGTACTTCCAAGCCCTGTTGCAGACCGTGCAGAAAGGTAGTGGTGTGCAGCTGAGCTGGCCAACTCCGGTCAGTCTTCACGTGTTTTGCGAATAAAACTCGGGTCACACGGAAGAGAGGAAGGAAGATGGGGACACCACAAGGAGCCTCTATAAAGACCTGTGAAAAAAAGAAAAAAGAAAAAAAAAAAAAGACCTGTGAAAGGTCATGGGACCAAGTGGAGACTGGAGTCATTCAGTCAGCATAGTAGGCAAGTCGGCTAGAGTAGGTGTGTTAGTCCAGGTGGACTAGAGAAACAAATTCATAGACACTCATATGTGTGTAAAAGGGAACTTTATATAAAGAGTAATTGTATATTAAGGGGGAACCGATCACAATGATCTACCTATAACCCCCTCCCTAGGGGATGGACAACAGAAAAGTGAGTGAAGGGAGACATCGGTCAGTGTAAGACATGAAAAATAGCAATTTATAAATTATCAAGGGTCCATGAAGGAGGGAGGGTGGTGGTGGGGGGAATGAGAAGCTGATACCAAGGGCTCAAGTATAAAGCAAATGTTTTGAGGATGATGATGGCAACAAATGTACAAATGTGCTTGACACATGGATGGATGGATGGATGGATTGTGATAAGAGTTGTACAAGCCCCCAATAAAAGTATTAAAAAAAAAAAAAGAAATCCCATCCCAGTCCAGATCAAGTCCGTAAGTCCGATATTAGCCCATATATCTGATACCAGTCTGTAAATTCCTCTTCCGACTTGTACAGCACATGCAATGACGCCAAGTGCAGAAAAATCACAGGCCTTAATGTAAACAAGTGGCCATCTAGCTTGGAAGCAACAAAGCCCACATGGAAGAAGCACACCAGCCTGTGTGATCACGAGGTG